ATTTTTATAATTGTTATAAAATAAATATATAATAAAATAAATAATAAATCCAAAAATTTTCAATTATAATTAAACTAATATTCTGTTTACAATGAACAAAAATATTCAATATTTTTAAAATTAATCATTTAAGACAATTTCATAATTTAAAAAGCCCAAGGGTACGAAATGGTTCATATATTGAACATACAAGTATGGAAAAAGTTAGAAATATATATTTTTAAAGATATAAGTAAATATAAATTATTCTTTGTTTTTCAAAATTGGAACGACAGATAAGATTCATTACCAAGTTTTGAATATTGACAATGTATAGTATGAAATCAATATTACTACAAAAACAGCACAACACCTATCTTTAATTATATTTATTTATATATTTACTTATTTATTTATTTTCATGCCAATTTGAATCAAGAAGACGAAATGACAAAAAAAATTCAATTAAACATTTGTTTACCATTACAAATTTTGATCATTTTTTTTCCCTCTCAATTTCACAAGAAATGAACTTCACTTATTAAAGAAAATGCATGTTAAGAGCATTTCACTTCCTTTCATATATGATATATCAAATAGGTTCATAATCAAGTTCTGTCATTTGAGAATGTGTAATCACATAATCAGAATTACTGAAGTAACAGCACTACACAAACTACGTTTAATGTCAGCCTGAACATTAATTTATGTTCAGTAATTTTAATGTTTCCTTTAATTTAACATTTTAATGATTTTACAATTTCATTCAACTCTTGATTTATTTAAATACAAAGTACCGACAAAGAATTTGCCCACAAGTTATCTTAACCTTTTTAATGCAATATGCATTAGATTGACTAGTTAGACAAATTTCTATTTTTTACAAATAAGATTAGAAAACATTATGTTGGCAAAATCATTTTTTTAATACGTCAAAATATCCAGAACATGATTATAACGAAACAATTTCATAAATTTACTCAAATTTCAAAATAAAAAAATTTAATTTGTTCATTCCTTATCTCTCTTATCATTTGGTGTTACAGAAAAGCATTTCCAAGTTAGGAGTTATTCCAAGAAACAACTTGGAAATTCAGAGCGAGTTGTAGTTTCAGATTCTCTTTACCTTCTACAGTTATTCTTAATTGTTTAGATTCAATTTTGCATTCGAGTTTGACATGACACAAACACTTGTATCCAACACCAAAAAAAATAGCAGGAGGCAGTAGTGATAGTGTCTGAGTAACGAGAATGTCAAAATGAAGTGGTAAAAAATTGATTTTTAAATTCTTCCTCTTCTCATTCCACAAACACAGGAGTTTATCAGTAAGGAAAGTACAGGAGTTAAATTTTCCTCCAGGGTAGGCACAACTCCATAGCATTTTTACTCTCAATGTTTTTGAAGGTTATGCATGGAGGTATTTTCTTTCGAGAAAAATTTAATTTTCAAGTCTCTTAGATGTATGCAGATAGGGAGAAATAGGCTTTTGCACTAAAATTTTGAAGATATCTCTTATCGATGCAAAAAACCCTCCGATTCACAAATTTAACATAATATAATCTAAAAGTCATCATCATTTTGTAACAATAGTATTAATTCTGAGAGTAATAACCATCCTTTAATAAACAACTTTGTTTCTCTGATTTTCATATTCCCTTTTATTAAATAAACATACTCGTTTCATGTAACACTACAGAATTATAAGACACTGATTGAATTTGTAAACATAGTTGACTGCACTCCAATTTCTTAACTGTCAATTACAGGAAATGAAACCTTACGGAGGAAAACTGATCGACCAACAGGAATTACCCGCTCACGTTTTGAAGTTTCGGATTAATAAGTAGCACAACAAATACTTCAAACAAGCTCCGTAACTAAACACGGTCCAGACAGTCAGCAAATATTGCATTTCAAAGTACCTAAACTATTCTTGCTTTCATGTAGCACGGTAACACTTACCGTCACAGGTGTTCCTCTTCTCATCAATCCGGTTTTACAAGGATGAATTTAACTTCCCACCAAAATCGGTCAATTCTGCCTTATTTCATTCGCCTTGTAACATCTGTAACACGCTTCGTCGCCCGCTCCGATCTTCAACAGCCAATCGTTACTTAACTATCGCTCACATTTCAGAAATCCTTCAGAGCATTACCACCTGACAGATTTGTATCTAGTGTCACTGTATCATTATCGAGAGATTTGTTTGTACTAAGAGATGGCTGCCTCCATGCTTTCGTAAAAATATGAGTGAAAACAAGGACCAGGCAAAGACTCCTCTCTCACAGGCAAAGAGTAAATAACGTTTTTACCTGCACCTTCTGCGCGCCTTTTTTAATGTTCGTCGTAGAGATTCGAGTCGTTCTTGTTGGCTAAAGAAACACAATATTTACTCTTTGAAGCTAAGATTTTATTATCTTTCCTGGCAACAACACAAAACATCACAAATCTCGTGTCTCCAACATGATAGTTTTTTAAATTCAAATTTTCGAATATTACCTGGAAAATATAGTTGTTCTTTTTAAATAAAATCAATTATATGAAAGTACGTTGAAATTCTTGTTTTTATAAGATGTGAGACTATTTACTTTAATGTATCTATGATAAAAAAGTAAAACACATATACGTCATATGGGAGAAATGTATAATCTGCGCACGTTCAATTGAACTCCAAAACCTCTACCTCTCTCTTTTACTGTACAAGGTTGAGTTCTGAATTAAGGTACCATTTAGGGTGGTTGGCACCATTTGAAAAAAAGACACTTACATTAAAATATTCTATAACAATTAGGCTGAAACCATGGAGCTAGAACTTTAACTATGGAATGTATAGCTTCATGGCTAAGACACTTCATAGATGGAACGTTTGAAGAAGTCCAGTAATACCACAACACAAAGTATTAATTTCATTTCTTACTTACATTTATTCGTTCAGGAGAGCAGAAAATAAACAATGGTAGAAAAAAACTGAATAATTTAAAAGGTAATGGAGGTTCTCTCACGGTACCTACTACTCCTGAGGCTACGGTGAGAGCACCTTCGCGCAGACCGGTCGGTAACTTCACATAATTGTCCACGGTGTTCCTGGACCACAGTTCGGTGCTTGTACCCAAGTTACCTAGAATAAGGATTATTTCATTGAACTTGGGATGGGATACAATTTCTCAATTAATCACACAGCTTGTCAGGACAAAGGATTATGGAGAGGCTATGGTATTGCTGGCATACACAAGGAATTAAGAATGCCCCCCCACGACTACAATCAAATTCCATTGGCTTACGTAGTTTTCGCATTCACAGCTTTCGTGTTCTCATAATGTGACTCTCTTGCTCGTCGGGCTTCGGCCTCACAAGGCTGAAACCTTAACTGAAAATTTACTATTGAAAACCCCAAGATTAATCCAATTTTTACTTTCCGGTATACAAACGTGTTACAGAGAAGTATTACAGTATTACAGAGTAATATACGTGTTATACGAAATGTTATGTAATGCTGCGAAAAATCGATTTCGATATTTCAATGGAAATACACATTTTGGGGTCTCCTGATATCGAAAAAGTGTTTCAATACGTCCGTCAGTCCGTCCGTTCGTGTGTAAACGCTACTAGCGCCTAAACCATACGTACGATATTTTCCAAAATGGGTACTCTCCGGTCGATCGGGCTCGACTCAAAGCGCTGCGATTTTGAAAAACTTACTTCAAAATTTTGGGGTATTTTACATGAAGTCTCCCAGACATTTTCAAAATTTTCTCAAAAACGGCTCCGAATTTTTTCTTTTAATTTCTTGTAAAAATAGAATAAAATACACATATAAAGGTCGCATACGATTTTCAGGGTTAACATTGAATTTTTGAAAATTTTGAAAATTTCGGGCGTCTTCCTATAACTACAGTTGTATGGAAATCCAAAGAAATCACTGAGATATCTCGAAAACTCAACCTTTTCCCATGAAAGTAGCTCAAAATTCCGCATTTTCTGAAATGCTGAAACGCCATTTTCTCAAAATAACAATAACAAGATTTTTTCAAAAATGGTCCCAAATTGTTTCTTCAAACTTTTCAAACTGATGGTGCTAGTAGTTTTTTTGTTTTGTTTTGTTTTTTGTGTTTTCAAGAATTACACAATTTTTTTTTAAAATATCTCTTTAATACGTTCATTTTCCGTTAATACGTTCATTTTCAGCAATTTGTAAATACAATTGTTTTTGTGAGTTGAAGTGCTTTAAATTACTTTAAATGAAGGTATTCGAAAACTAAACAAAATTCTGTGAAAAAAAAACTTCAAAATTCGAATTTATAGAACAACACAAGCGTGCACATTTCTTAGAAACTACCAAATTTTTAAAAAATGCCATTTAGTTAGAGTTTTTATTGCTTTTTTCTAATTTTCTTAAAATAATATTTCTGTTCTATTATTAGGAAACCAAAAAATTAAGCAAATTTCAAAAAAAAATGTTCTTTGGACGGCGATAGATGGCTGCTGGCAAGAGTATGTGACAGGGTCGTATAGCTAGTAGAGACCAAAGGAAACAGAAATTAATTTCGGGAAAGTCTGTGTCATCTGTTGCTCCACTAGTTTCTCTTCGTGTGAACAACTCATTTTAGTAAGTATTTAGAAGTGCAATTATATCTTTAATAAGAACGATTTCGACTACCTATGTTTGTAACAAGAATACGCATCATAAGTCATTTTTAATTACAGTTTAAATCCATAAAAAATTACAACTAACCAAACAGTGATTTCTTCTTTTCACATAACTGCTTAAATAAGTACTTGATGGGCCACTCGAGCCCTCCCAATCAGCGAAAATGGAATTGTCGCAGAGCAGATCTCGCAGCACCCTCGGAGTAGGGTGCAGTTTTGGGATTACGAGTGGAACGGGTGGGTGTAAACGTGTGGGAGGTTGGGATATTATGAAATACAGATTTTCCCATTTTTATTAATAGTTTCTTTTATATAATAAAATGTTTGAATTTTAATGGCAAAAGTGAGCAATTGTTGATAAACGTTGGATCACGTGTTTTAAGCGATGAATTTGATGTTTTAATTCTTCATTGTAGTTGTAGATGGAAGTCGAGGCTGAACTGTAAAGAGAAAGAAGAACATTGTGAATACATCTTTTTATATGGAACTTTTCTATAATATGGAACAAACTTTAAAATACTATAAACAATCTATAAACACAGGGGTGGATCCAGAGACGAAGTTTCGGAGGGGAAATACAAAATGTTTTCGTCGAATATGTCATAACACAAATTTTGTAACGAGTTGCTTGAAAGTCTCGTGACAAGTTAAAATTAACAGTTACTGAAAAATGTTAAGGGGAGGGGGAAATTCCCCTCCTCGTGGAACAGCGCTCTTCTTTTATATCTCTCCGTGTCTTTCTGTTTTACTCTTTTTATTATATTCGATTAAAATAAACAATTTGTCATCATGAATTTTGTTCATTGTAGTCCTTTGCGAGCATTACATTTACATTTTAATTAGTTTCTTCCGTTTTAAAAAGACCGAGATCAAGAGTCACATTACACTTCCAAATCATAGAAAATCAAAAAGATAGCAAGCGATTTTTTCTCGATTCATTTCAAAATAATAATTTGAATATACTTTTGATTTGTGGATGCATACTCGTATGTAGCTATGTCCCCTACTGATGGAAAGAAAATAAGGCTGGATATGACCGCCGTAGATATACGTGTTCCCAAATAAGAGATTCTGACAAGTGGCGAAGCGTCTGGGTAGGTGGAGTAAACTGAATGATCCGAAAGAATTTTGAAGAAGGCGAGAAATATCTCAATAAAAAAGGAAAATTGTTCTTTCATAATATCTCTTTTTATCCAATCATCAAGTTTTTTCTTATGCATATTCCATTGTCTTTTCGCGGACAAGGCCTGAACTAGACTCCATCCTCCTAAACACGTTACGATGTCACAAGACTAGGAACGGGGCGCGGTGAAGTGAGAGAGCATGCGCATTTAGTAGGCTGGCAGGATGTCCCGAGCAAAAGCGTGCAATTAATTGAATCTCTTGCCGGCAGGCGCTCTCTTAACCATCAGATTGTATGGAACTTCCGGGAATATTACTCGCGCAACTTTTCTTAAACGATATATTGAAGAAATGCGGATAGAGTGGAGGAATTAGTTACGAAATCGGCCACTAGATTTTATGAAGCAATGCCAATCTCTGAACAATCAGTCATGCCTTCGCAACATTCTCAACAATTTGCGTCCTAACTTTCTCAGGAGTTCGAGGTATCTCCTGTGCTAGATCTGTACCTGCTTCGGTCATTTCTTTAGATTTTTGGAAATAATAACGAAGAGAAGTTTTCATCTTTAAAAGAAAATTGTTTGTATTTCACGTTAGTGAAGATGTATTTGGAATGTTGCCATCAGTGCTTGCTGCGAGCTTTTGCTTTCATCTTTTTTTGTGCTAGAGAGGGGGAAGCAAGGTCACAGTTCAAGAAAAGTTGCGCGAATAATGCCTCTAGAGGTCATTGATCAACTTCAAACATCAAGAGTAAAACATTCATTTAGATCAAATTTTAGTGTAAACATTCCTCTGTACCTAATTCACGAAGTACTATATAGAGAATGTTCCCTTTTTTCTTACACAATATTTAACTCCGTGATAACTTTTAATAATACCCTATAATTTATATAATATTTATTCTAAGCATTTTTAGTTTGGAATCGTGGCGAGTGTGTTGTGGAAACATCAAACTGGATCATTTCGTAAGCTGCTTGAATACCGTATTCCTGTGTAGGTTACTAATGATGTGTTATTCGAACAACAATCACGGTGTACAATGTGGTACTTTTGTTTTATTTTATAATTGAAATTCATTGAATAGTTGAGGTTTATGTGATTAGATCCACACGACGAAATGCAAGATTCTGTGGGTATAGATGGTGACTCATTTCATTCAGTTAATTTTTTGTTGAGTAATTCAGTTGAGGTGTGGTCTTTTGAAGAAAAAGTGCAATTGAAAGAAAAATAGCCAGACCAAAATTAAATATTTCACAAAAGAATGAGAAATGTAGAGCGACTTATTCGTGATATCAGTATTGTTGCATGATTGAATTTATAACATTTATTATTATTATTATTATTATTATTAGTATTATTATTATTATTATTATTTATTCTGTTATAAATTTGTTCATGATATACTGTGCTTCTGCCAAGGCAAGAAACACAAGGCTTTGATGATTAATACTAATATAACATTACATGTACTACTATTACATTTTTATATTTGTAAGCATTTTAGGAAAAACAAATAAACAAATAAGAAAATATACACAACTACAACTACAAAATACACTCATAATCAGGGTCGTTTCTAGAACCTATGAGGCCCCCAGCGTTTTCGAAAATGTGGCCCCCTACACACAATCACGCGCGCATGCGCGTGTACATCATTCAGTGATTAATACACCTCTACAAATTATAGCAGCATTACTACATAAAAATTAGGGACTTCAATGCCGAGCCAGGAAAGTAGAAGTCCCAGGCGTATGTAATAATAATAATAATAATAATAATAATAATAATAATAATAATAATAATAATAATAACAACAACAACAACAACAACAACAGACACTGAGCTTCTGATGTTACATAACATGAAATGTGAGACAAAGGTGTTAAAGAAATCGTGGAGAGACAAACCACTTAATGGACAATGTTTAAAAAGAATGGACAAGGTGCAAATCAATAAGATCAATCATTTACATAGCATAAAAGGGGAAGGATGAAGCCAGAAGCAGTCGGAAGCAGTTCTAATAGCTGCTCAAGACCAGGTTTTGAGGACACGATGATAAAGAGGTTCTCAATATTTTCCATGATAAATACTGCATTTTCCAGGAACAAATGGAAACAATAGATCATATCATCCCAGCTTGTCCAATTCTAGTAAAGACTAAAAACTTACAAAGACACGATAGGGTGTGCAGTTACCTTAACTAGTAGATGTATAACGCTCTCCAAGTTCCTAAGACATGATCCAAGTGGTACGAACACTTACCAAACCCGATGACATCTTTGGACTGTTTACAATATTGTGTGACCAACAAATTCAATCTGAACGCACGATACAAACCGCATATTGCTATCCGGGGTTTGGAGAAAAAATCGTGTGCACTTGTAGATGATGCTTCGCCGTGCGATCAAAACGTCGTAGGCAGAGAAACGTCTTAAATTCAAGTTGAACGGCAGGAGAAATGACCTCGGTAGAGGAGGGCGGTTGACCTTCTATCAGCTATCGGCTCCGAAGCGCGTTCTCGGAAGGCAGCAACTCGAATTATCTTTCGCTTTCCGGCCTTCGTATGAAAGAGTGTGTGTAAACACGCAAGACGGCGAGTAGAACTTGAAAGAAATTGAATAGGTTTAATAATTGTAAGACGTTGCGTAGTGATAGTGAACGTCTTGAAAATCATTTTGCTGTTGTCATCCTAAAAGTCAGATCACAAAGCAGTGTGAAGTTGCAAACAAAAAATAAAATAAAAAAAATAATAAAAAATTGCAGGCTGTCACGCAGCTAAAATGTTTTTAGTTAAACCTATTAAGTGCAAACACTAGTTTACCACTTCAAGAAATTTTGGAATTATGCTTTCTTAGGGAAACATTTTAAATAGAATTAGTAATATAATTTGAATTAAAAAAGATTATGATGGGTTTTTGCTTCACCCTTCGTTAGTCGTGCATGTGTCTCGAAGACTCATTGCACTTTAAGAACTCAATATCGCGCTGAATCGCTGGAGTAAGATTATGAAATATGGTGATATCATGTGTTGTGTTGAGCGATTCTGCATCCGGTGGCGAGGTTACTGCAACATATACCGGAGGGTGATAGGTCTTTCGACCGCATCGTCTTTCCGCCCGCCCGCCCGCGCGTGGGATTGCCACACCCCTAAATAGTCACATGCTGTTCGTTGAATTTCCCCCTGCCGTTGCGTTGTGTTCCTCTCGCGCCGAATCTTTCGCGCACGTTTCTTGTAATAACGTAATATTCTTTACAGTTTTCAATATGAGCGAATAATGAACATAAAGAACTTAGCTCGAAGTTTCATACTCCAGCAACTGGAGAGAAAATCCCCAATTACAAGTTGCCCAGGAGAAATTCAACTTGTTAACTAAATACAGAAAACAAGAAAATCAAACTGCGATTCCTATTGAACCGCAAAGCACAATAAAAGGTGTTAGTCCTGCAAGAAGGACAAACAGATAGTCGCAAAAAATATGCTTGCGTAAAATGTAACAATTTCATATGTTTTCACAAACATGCAAAAATTATTTGTCAAAACTACCTTAATATAAATACCACTGCTAATATTAGTGATTAAGACTAAGAAATAATTGTGACTTATTGTTTATTATTGATATACACGATATCCTTTTCTTCTTCCACGGCATTTAGTTAAATGAATCATTCATAATATACACAATAAAAAGTGAAATTTATTTCTCAATAAATATCATACTAACACTTCCTCACACAACGTACATAATACATTTTCTCCAAAACGCCCATAGAATGTTCTAGACAACAAAAAAGAAAGTAGCATGAGTCTAACCATTAACCTCGTTCCAAAAAATGGCGCGCCTCAAGAAGGGTTTAAAAAGTGCGAACAAATGCATTTAAAATAGAAAAGAAACATATGTGTTTTTCGTTGATCTATGGAGCACGAACAGATTGAAAATTCATTTTCGATCGTATAATTGTACTACAAAATGTTCTTTATTTGGTGCTTTTACTGCATTATACTTCTAATAACAGTTTTATTATTATTATGAACAATATTTAAATAGCTAATGAAATGTGTATGTTTTTTGTGTACTTGTTAATAAATACGAAACAGTTTCTGAAATGAAGAAAATGACTATGAAAGACCGACGCGTTTGTTGAGCTCAAGTCGCATCGTCCCCTCACTGGGATTTTGACATCGAGCCCGCGTTCCTCAAACCGTTCTGGAAGTTATTCGCTTGCCCTTTCGCCACAGGCGCTGCCTGCCCAGTACTCACTCTACACCTTGACCACACGTGACACTCTTCCCGCGATAACTCCCGTCGCAGCTG